CTATAAATATTATATTCCATTTCAGCCACTAGATCCTAAATGCTACACACTGGACCTTTAAGGAATGTTATAATAGCTTTACATAAAATCACTGGTTGTGATGGAAATGTTAGCAGAGTAGAGAAAGAAGCCAAAACCATAAAGCTAAAAAAACAGGATGATAAATCATAATAATAATAATAAACAGACCACATACTTGAGCCAGTGATTCACAATCACTGTCCTCATCACAACTGTCAAAAATACTGGACCGATCCATCCCTTCCTCTACCATTGTGGGACTGTCCTCGAGGGAGCTCTCGTACACCGTCTGCGTTTCTGTCGTGACGTCCTGGTAGTCGACCTTCTCTGTGAAGCTGACTTTACGTTGCTTCAGATTGCTGTCATTCATGTCCCACTCTTCCTCTGTCAGCCTGAATCCGGCTTTCAGATCCCCTCTTCTCCTTGGCTCTGGGTTTCCGTTAGCGGTGTGACTGACAGGGATCCCTCTGGGACCCAGGAAGGAATAGGCTGTCATTGAAGCTTGGGCCTTTCCCAGAGCGAGACGGCCATACTTGAGCATGATGGCTTGGAGCAGTTCCCACAGCACCTTCGGGGTGAAGACACCCAGCTTGTTCTGCTCATAGAGATAAGGCTGGAGGACCTCTTTGATGTTTTGCAGGAACTGGCGGAAGATCAGTAGAGTGGCTAACATCTGTGAGGAGAAGGACAACATCAGTTACTGTGCTGAATATAAGAAGTAAAAAGAGAAAATACATGCACAGTCCAAAAGTGTTTAGTAAGCATTCACTCTGCCTGAATGTACAAATGCAGTTCACTGCATCTGACACAACACACAATAATAAAGCAAGATTATGTAACTTTTGAAGGAGTAAATAAAGCACTGTTTCACTTAAATGATTAAGATCAATTCATAAGCAGTAAAACACCATTGCTCAGTTCAATTTGCTGCTAAAGCCTTACTTGGTCTGGTATGACCATTAGCTTATGGTGGCTAATTTAATGCTCCATTATTCTGTAATGAAACGCTGTACCCCTCCCCAGAAAAGCCTCTGTCTTTGAGCACGATATCACATATGTAGCTGGCAAGTACCTATTAAAGACCCCTGAAGAAGATTTTGGTTATAAAACGAGTAAACTGGCAACATTCAAAGTTCATCTGAGACATTTTCTACCAACTCATGAAGCTAATGTTAGCTCCATGCAAACCAAAATTGATGGTTTCTGGCTAAAAATGTCAAGCCTGCTTTTGTCAACCTCTATCTGAAAACAATGAGCCATTGTTTAAAAATGACTGAGAACTCTGAGTGGTAAATTATCACCATTATCATTGTAAACTCAATATGGCTTGACAGGCAGAAATAGCAACAGTAACTATGAGGGGTTCATATTGTTTATGATACTGCCAGCAGTTGTTGTTACCTCCTTAAGTCGCTCCATGTCCTTGAGGTAGAATCCGATGTAAAAAAGGCTAAGGTACGAATTAATGAATTCAAACTGTAAAGAAAAACATAACAAGAAGTCAAACACACTCAAACAACATGAACTGTCTCTATTCTGCCCCAAACAGGAGATGAAGAAGCATGACTTACAAAAACCATCTTGATGATGAGATTATTCTCATAGGCACTCTGAAGTCTGTAATTCTCTGCATGATTAATAAACATAAGAGAAGCATTTGTCAATGTGCAGTTCAATGACAGTAAAAATGTAACTGCCTCATAGATCAAGGATCAAAACCTCATGGCTTAAAGCTTTCTATATCAGTGCTCACATAGCATAAAAATATACTCCTACATACTAAATGGCTGCCTAGCCTAAATTACAATCAGGGGCAAACATGTTCCATTTTAGTTTAATTTCTTATAAAGCAATTCAATTCCTCTATTATATATCACAGAAATATTAATTTACTATCGTGCTGAGAGTTCATTTTATGTCTCTTACCCATGTCATTAAGCCAGTAGGCAATCTTCTTATACACCTCATCACATACAGTTACAGTAACGGCCAGAAGTATCTTAGGAATGAATCTTGTGATACCAGGTAGCTCCTGGATCTCCATCACCACTTCCTGCAAGGTGCATTAGAAGCATGGTACATATTTAATAAGTCCAATTCATTCATATCTCTCAAATCCCACAGTTATTTTTAAAAGGCTATTAAATGAATATGAGCCTGCAAGAGGTATATTTGAATATGCTTTGTTTACGCTGTTTGTGAAAATGATATCATTCACAGACTAAACTGTAGTTATGGATCTTAACTTTCTGTCTTGCTGTTGTTTAACTGTGGTATTCATGCTGTTTCCAGTAAGGGCGGGTTTAAGCTCTTCATAAGAAATACATTTATACAATATCAGCCCATTTATCACCCACAGACGATATCAACTCCATTCATTCCATTTAACTTGCATCCTGTGTTATCTGTTCAAACCTGCAGTTCCAGGCAGAGGAGCATAGCAAGGAAGACAAAACAGAGACAGAGGAGGCAGATGGGCAGGCTGACCAGCCATCTGAACAGAGCTCTCTTCCAGGGCGGGTAGTAGAACTCCTCACAGCCCGTTATAGGACTGCAGCGCTTCACTCCCTGCAGAGACCGCAGAAGAGGAGAAAATAGCCAGAGAAGGTGTTAGAGACCTCTGTATGATTGTAATCATCTTTACTGGAAAAAGGATTGGAAATGTTTGTGCTACATAGTAATGATTACTAGTTAGATGTTGTATCCCAGGTTATTGGAGAACATCGGACATTACAAATAAATCCTCAATTTAAGTACCTCTGTTTTAACAACTTTCTATTGGATTGTAATTCAAAATGTATGTACGAAAAACAACAATCACACATCTGTGACAAACCTGTAGCACATTCCAGATTTTCATCTCATATAATTTTCTCATATTATGATGCATTACCATGCTGTTAGTGCCACCCCGAAAACATTGACGCCCAACGTGGGGCTCGAA